TGTCGACTGTAGCCATGGCGGTGGCAGAATAGCTGGAGCAGCCGGAGCAAGGACGTATATCCACGTCTTTTTGTGGACAGGTATGCGTCCAACCAGGCCTTGTGGTGACATTTGATGTAGTTGACAAGGTGCGTAGATGACAAGGCACGCTCTTCCTCTCTCACCCTCCCCATGAAGGCCAGAAGGCCATCAGCATCAGCGTCGGGATCTCGGTTGGCCGCCCGGCGCCACCCAGACTTGTGCGCTTCTTGTTGCCCTTGAACGCTTGGAGCTTGTCCTTCTGAGAGGACCACCTTGACAGGTTGGACCTGGGGATGCCAGTCATGGCCTCCAGCGCACGTGCGCTTACCTGCCCGTAGGTGGCCGCCATTTCCCGCTTGAAGGCGGCAGGGTAACGCCGTCTTGATGTCTTGGGCCTCGTGGTGTCACTGGCTTGCATTGGATAATCTTGGGCCTCGTGGTGTCACTGGCTTGCATTGGATAATGGCCTCTTGGCTGTAAGTGTATTTTCGCGCTCATTTAAAATGTTTCCCGCGCATAAAAAATCAGCCAATCATATATTATTATTTGTATAAAATATTTGATTGGACAAAATAAATGTTAACTTCGGTGTCCCTTAAATTCCTTCGTTAGCTGTAGTCGGGCATACAGCTAGCAAGTGAGGATCTCTCGATCCAGAGTCCAGGCTGTGAACTGTTAACCCCAATTTCACTTTAGGATTTGCCCTTTTCACCTCAGTGTTCATTCCAGTGGTGGAATGACATCACATGGCGAGTGGCTCCTAGCGAATCTAGGAGCAATCCAAAGTATGTCGTATCCCTGTGAATGTACGGCTGCACCGAGCACGCAGTAGGGCTAAATGTCGCCCCGGGCGACTCCAAGACAATGTTCTTGGTTGCGCTCGCATCCGCTTAACTCGAACTGGCGGAGGCAAGTCGCCCCACGTGACTTGACGTGCTGGGCGAAGTGTTGTTTTCATGGCTGTACAAAAGCAAGTCTCGTAGCTAGTGCACCGCATTGGCCGAGACACGCACCCTGGCAGAGTGCCATGTGCGTTTTTCCCGACATCGTTGTCGACACGAGATGTGGCCATGGCTGCATGATCATCGTACTCAGGATTGAAGCATCCAAGATTGGCCAAGCGGTCGCGTTGAATCAGTTGTTCGTTGTTTGTGCATACAGCAGAGCGAGGTCTCGGAAGTGTGCACCGCGGAATGGTGTCGCCAACGTGCTGTCATCAGCTTTGTGCCTCGCTGGAGAGAACACCGGACTCTGGCCATTTTGCGTGCCCTTGACGACGACAGTCCCGGCCATGCATGCACGTAGTACAGGAGCTAGTCTTGCGTTATACTGCACTACAGCGTGACATTCCAGGGTGGCCGCAGCGCTGTGGCGGTCGTGCATCTGGGGTGATTCCCGTCCGTCAGTCGACCATTGTTGCCAAATCTTGCATTGCCAAGGCCAAAATCATCTCATGATTCACGTGCCGTGATTGGGTGGTCAAAATGCCGGATACAGTATCCGGTTCATATTTGGACGCAAAACGATGGCAGAAAGCACGACGCCGGCCGCTCCAGCGCTGACGTCCAAGGAACTGCGCGCATCGCTGCAAGGGTGCATGATTCAGAACCAAGTCAACGTACGTCTTGCACGGGATATTGCGTTTGCCCGCATCCATTGCTGGAACGAACTCGACTGGTAGCCATTTGTAGTTTTGTGTAGGCGGCGTCCTCGCAGGTGTTCCCATCAGCATCTACAGCAAGAAGATGTACCCGTTTGCAGTTCTCGGCGTGCTTGGTATGCAATTCGTTCATATCGACATTGCCCACACGATGCTCCCTGTCCTCTAGGGTCGTTCATCGACTACTCGTTCCCGTACGATTCCAAGTGCGTCGAAATCCAGCGCGCGTTGGACGACGCGCTGGCCCGCGAACAGGCGTCTTCATCTCCAGCGACACCATCTACCCCTTCATCCTCTCCATAGCAATCGTTGCATTATATATCGACTTGCAATGTCTCCCGTTTGCGCTGTGCCTCGTTCGATTCTCTGCACGTCGGCGGACGTGACTTGCACGTTGCGCTGCGCAACAATACGATGCATCCTGTGCAACATAACGGCAGTTGCGGACGTCGCAAGGGATGATGAGTGTCCCTCGCTCAAATCGAAGTGGCCATGTGCCACGGCACCAATGCTAAGCCAACTACGTCGACTCCGTGGAACCGTCATGCTTGTACACGCTATATATGCAACAAAGTCCTCCACGCGGCTGTCTCCATCGTCGCACGTCGCCATCCTCGCGTCGCCATCCTCGCTGTTTCCATTCCTGGACTATGCGATGTTGCTTCGTCCGTCGGGCGAGTGTTCCGCCACCGCCACGACGTACCTTGGCATGACGGCGCATGGTGTATCGATGGCCAAGCATCTGCGTCCATGTTTCGCACTGGCGTGTACGATGCATCTCAAAGACGTAGTCCATTTCGACTTGGAATCCCATGCAGTGGTGGCATGACGAGCTAGACCCGATTCATGCCAAAGAGGGACTCGGCAAACTTCTTTTGTTCGGCCGCCTTCCTGTCGCGGAGTTGGGTCACTGTACAACACGTGGCGCACAGTCGGACGGCGAGTGCGTCTTTGTCAAGCTTTTCTCGGGCGGCTTGTTCAGGATCTTTGATGTCGCCGAGTTTCTTGGAGCAGTTGCGGCACATGGTGCGTCCGCACACGTGGCAGTCTCGCAGCGCGTCCAGGAGGCTCTTGGGGTTCTTGCATAGCTTGCACGACAGGCGCGGCACGTCTGCGGGCGGCGCTTGTGTCCCCTCGCGCATGTACTTGGTCAGGCGCACGAGTGTCTGCCGCGAAATCACGTCCGATACCATCACACCGTTGTGGTCGGGGATGTTGATCGATGCGCCGGCGTTCACGAGTGCGCCGGCCATCTCGGGGTACGACCGATCCACGATCGCCATGTGCAAGTATGTTGTGCCGTTCCCGACGAGGTTGTTGAGCTGCATGCCACGAAACGAGATGAGCTTCACAAAGACGGACGTGTCGGCTTTCGCCGTCAGGATGTGAACTTCCAGCGGTGTCTGGCCGCGTACGTTAGTCGCGTGGAGGTTGGCCCCCATCGAGAGAAGCATCGTCCCGAGCGACGTCTGCAACTCGGCGGCCGCCGCGGTCGAATTGTCCTTGGACGCGACAAAATGCAGTGGGGTATTGCCGTGCTTGTCGCCGACGTTCACAAACTCCTCGGCACGCGGGAGCTTCATCAATGCTTTCAGTACATCGACGTGCCCTTTCTTGACGGCGATGTGAAACGCCGTTTGGTTGTTCTTGCGTTCGCGGAGATGGAGAATCCCCGACGAATTCGTCGTGTCTGCCGCGCCATCCAGATCTTCCAAGTCGTATCCATAGCGCTGCAGCATGGCAATCATTGTACGGGAGCTACCTCCACTCACATGCCCACTTGAAGATGGCGCGGCCGGTGGAGCATGCGACTGCGCAAATCGAACTCGAGGGTTCGAATCTACAGGCGGTGCGTCTGGCGCTGCCACGGGAACATCATGATGATTGTGGCGGCGGTCGTGGCGGGGGGATTCTTCCGTAGATGACGCGGACATGTCGGACTCACGCAATACGTTCTCTTCGGAGAGATGCGTCCGCAGCCCCTCGATCGAATCCAGCGCCGACGACATCGTGATGATGATGGATCGGCAAGAGGTCAACTGATGGGGTGATTTATTTTACGGGTACAAAATATCATCCGCTGTTGCGAAATCTCCATGCATCTACACCGAAAATATTGAATTTTCCATGCATTTCACCCCAATTTTAGGTATTTCATATTCTTCTGTGATTTTATCTTATTCATACAATGGAAGGAAAGAAAAATTTAGTCAATATATCATGAGAGATACGATTGAAAATTCTTGATATTTCCAAATTTGATGACATTTTCGACACTCCTGTGGAGCGCGGATGGGGGTTACGTCCACGTTTAAACCCGTGTGCGGCATAACCAATTCTGCAACAACATCCCAGAGACATATAATCTTGCCAGTACGAGATCGTTTGTGCCAGTAACGTTGGAGCGGTCGTGTAAACCCCTCCCAGCGCATGCACAACATATCAACCACGTTAAAAATATCGAAAAATCTGGGTTGCATGCAAAACAACTTGCTGATTGGACAATTTCACCCAATCAACGCAACGTATAAAATTTTTCATTCAATGTTTTAATGGAAATATGCATATTTCATCAAATGAAATGCATTCCTGGCGTATCATTTTAGCCAATCAAATCCTATGGTGTCTGGCGTCCTCTTTGCCAGTCGATGCGTTAATTCTTAACAGGATGAATCGGATGCGTCGGCAAGTCGTAGGATCTCTGGCCGCGCCAGTCCGTGCCGGTGCCCGCGGCTGGGGCTGGTACCACCTAGCAGTGAAGAAGATGAACGCTCCCAAAGCTGCGTCACTGGCGTACGACTTTGCGGTCCCGGAATCGGCGACCCCGCGTCCTCGTGCGTTCCTCGATGTGAAGATCGGCAACACCGAACCGGAAAAGGTCGTGATCGAACTCGCATCTGACATTGTGCCAAAGACGGCCAGCAACTTCTTGGAGCTCGTCAAATCTGGCAAGTACAAGAACACTCCGTTCCACTTGGTGCAGAAGAACAACTACGTGTCCGGAGGCGACATTACGCACGGCAACGGCCAAGGCGGCATGACGGCCAGCGGCGCGCGCTACTTTGACGACGAGAACTTTGCCTTGCGCTATACGGAACCGGGGGTTGTTGGCATGGCGAACTCGGGTGTAAACACGAATGGGTCGCAGTTCTTCATCACGAGCAAGCCGATGCCGCACTTGAACGGCCGCAACGTCGCATTCGGTAAGGTTGTCGACGGCCTCGACGTCGTGCGAAAGATCGAAAACGTGTACAGCGTCAAGGGCAAGCCGTTGACAGAAGTTGTCGTTGTCGACTGCGGCCTCTTGTAAGCGACCAAGGACACAGTATGATATAACATGAATAGAACCACGCGAGATGATAGACTCGTCCAGGCACACGTCGTCGTCGGTCTCGTGGATGGAATGCTGCGAAGGATGGATTCCCCATGTCAGTAGGAGGTCGAGACCCGAGCGCTCTGTGTGTTCGGGGGTGGAACCCATTTGATTCCGGCACCATCCTGTTGGGAAAAGGTCATCGGCACAGCGAAGAGCTGTGCAGGCTGCGTCAACACGCTCTGCTTGTGATCTGTGCGACGAGGATGGAGATGGTTCGTCGTGACGTCGTCACCGCGTGGCGTGATTTAGGTGGACGCGCGCGCTCCCTGTCAAGGTAATGTGGCCATGGCTTCCCTCGATGCTTGCATGCAGATGCGGTGAAGTAGGTCTGGGCTCGCGAGGCGTTCATTGTCGACAATGGAGCGAGCGGATCGGGGCGGTGGGCAGACACAAATTCGACCATCCCTTTTAGTTTTAGCCAATCATGGAGCTTCATGGTGATTTGAAACGACTTGATTCGTAAAATGTGAAGAAATCGGGGTAATTCAAGTATTGCGCATGGAAGCAGACGAAGCGGCATGGGCAGAGTGCAACGACATCCTTGCCCAAGTCAAGCAGAATAATGTGCATGAAGGCCTCCGCAGGTTATGCGCGCTGTCACTAGAGACAAGTGTGGCGTCTGTGCGAGAGTGGACGCACGCGACTATTGCCGATACGCTCGAGTGGCACGAGTCGCAACACAACGATCCTCCCCCGTTCGTTGTGCCGTCCGTCACAAAGGCGTCGCCGTCGTCGCTTTCCATCGGAGTGTCGCTGCAAAGCCAACATGATGTCGTGAAGGAGTATGTACTGGATCAGCTCCAGCGTCACGAACAGCCACTTCCTCACGCGACGTCCATCGCGCTGCAGCATGTGTTGGCCACGGACATCGACGATACCGCTCTCTTTGTCGAGCTCACCAACGTCTTCCTGTGCGAGCATGCTATCTTGGACATGCTTGCATCGTTTGAAGCGCGCGTGATGTCCGAATTGAGCCAATTGTCCCTGCCAGCTCGATTCAACTTGTGGACGCAGTTTCCTCGCGTCTGGGAACGCCAGGTTCGACCTGCAACGCCCGTCAAACCGTCAATTCTGTGGCCGTAGATTGGTACATGGCTCGACCAAGTGCACGCAACTCCGTTGCTTCCTGTGCAATGCGTCATTCTGACCTCGTCCTCGCATGACCACAAGCCGAATCCCGTAGACGACGCCGCGTCATTGTTTCGCACCATGTACCGCCAAGCGCCACATTTGCATGTAGTGGCGCTTGACGTTTGCCAGCGGTGAGTACGAGGACGCTCGATGGGCAGAGTGGCGCCTTCAAACGTGCATAATGACCTAGGTATCTGGCAGTGTATCCCACCCATCGGACGCTCCAACTGGTGCAGGCGCTGGCACATTGCTTGACCGATCGAACTGTCGTCCGCCTTGTCAAAGTCGGAGGTCCCCTTCGCGGGCTAGAGGTACCTGTTGTCTGGATGGACCTTGTAGGCTTATTCGAGGCATAGATGCCACCGCCGATGACGTGGTGGAGCCTGGCGCAGGACGCGGACTGGATTCGATCGACCTGCCGCCGTGTTCTTCGCTATTCGCCACTCCCAACATGTCCAATAAATGACGGCATCCGACGTGACAACAACGAAGAGCACGTATTCCACTCGTGGGTCGCATCGCTGACGGCAGTGTACGCGCTCCAATGCACCAGGACCCACACCGTTCTCCACTCGTACGCCAGTGCCCTTCTCGACGCAATCCGCCGCTTCTCGTCCACCGACGCGGGACCTTCCGGCCCGGTTTTTGCGTGGCTGCAACAGCACCGGTACAATACGCTTCGATGCCGACACCATGACCATACTTGGTCGGCGCCATGTTGCATCTTGTACGACATGGACCAACTACATCATGTCTGCGTAGAGAAGCCGCCGTCGCGTTCGCCGCGTTGACGGCCACTCTCCTGTTCAATTGGATCGGTGTAGCGAGCGAGCAGCTCCCGACTGGCACGTCGTCAAGCGGACGAGTCGCGGCGGCACCACCACCAACGACGCTGGACGCCGTGGTGACTGAAGCGATGGCGTGCATGGAATACCTCCTGCGCCTCCCGCCACCTTCCACCATGACGCGGCGGTGCGACGCCCATCTCTCTCCTTCGTATTCGATCGATGTAGCTGACGCAATTGTGTGTCGTAGGGCATACCAGATCAGCCTCGTCGGTGTCGTTCTCGCGAGTGTCGAGTGTTCTGCTGGTCGACACAATTTGTGTGTGCACCCGACAATTGCCCCAGCATTGCGTGAGCTCGTGCGGGTCATGACCGTCGATGCCGAAGTCACGTTGCCATCGACATGGCGCGCCCACGCTGCCGCGAGGCTCACGTGTCTGGATTGTACGTGACGATGCCGATGCTCGATCTGACTTTGTACAATAAACACCACGAAACGATCTTGTCATGCCAAGTCGATGGCGTCGTCGAGGGAGATGGAATGGGCTGGGATTCGGCGCTCGCCATGTTGGCGTCTCTTTGGGACAGGGATGGGCCCAGACGTTGTCATGTCATTCACTCGTCGAGATCGTCGCCATCGCGATCGCGCGCAACCAAGTGCCGATTTGCGATGGCGAGCCTCCAGCAAGTACACAAACATCCGTTCGAATCCAAACGGTGGCTGCAACGAAAGCGGTGCTGTCAGCGCCGACGACGACCTGCAGCGGCCGCGCACACTCGCATCTCAACGTTCGACCCATGTATTCTGGTTTACTCGGCCGCCACGATGCCTTCGCATTTTTGAATCTTCAGCGAAAAGTCCACAGCGCCATAGCCTACATCGTGATCATCAAAATTGCAGCCATCGCGGCAACGTGCTGCGAACCTTGGGTGAGTTTGCCTTGGCTGATGATGTCGACGTGCGGCGACACAAAGTCGCCCATCGAGTCGATCGTGATGCCCCCGCTGGCTTCGATGAGGAGGTGGGGGAACTGTTGCTTGAGCGTCGCCGCGACTTGCTTGAGCTGCGGCGGCTCAAAGTTGTCGAGCATGACGATGTCGGCGCCTGCGGTGGCCTACACACGACGGCAGCCATCACCACCCTGTCCCTGGGACAATCGAGTTGCCATACCGCCTCGACAGCTTCCTCGAGCTTGCGGCACTCGACTTCAATCTTCATCGAGAAACCCGCCGCCGTCTTGGCCCTTTTGACCGCGTTCGTGATGCTGCCCGACGCCCATACGTGATTGTCTACGTCACCACGACGAGTTGCGGCCTGGACGGCACGAGCGCACCACATACCTTTAAGCATGACCATTTGAGACAGATCGTTGCGATGGGTGCTAGCGCCGGCCACGAGCAACGCGTACTTTTCAACGACGCGGAACCCTGGTGTTGTCTTGCGCGTGCCAGCGACATGACCGTGCCAGCCCAAACTACGGGCGACCTTGACGGCGGCGGCTGCCTGCCACGCACCAAGTGAGAGACTAAACAGGCAACGTGGCCATCGAAGGCGTACCTGCGTCGCAATGCCACTGGCGCGCGTCAAAATGTTGAGTGCCGTGCGTTCGCCAAGGAGAATGTTGCGGCACTTTCCCGTCACCTTGGCGACGACAACTTTGCCCGAGGCCACGGTGGATGGGTCGATCATAGCGCCTTCGGGAAGCTGCCACTCCACGACACAGTCGACCGCTTCAAACACCGCTACAAAGGTCGTCGTCAAGGGTCGCCGTCGTGGCGTCGCTGTTGGCACCTGTGAAGAAGGGGACACCCGCCAGCACCCCGTGGGATTTACCGAGCAAGTACGCGATTTGATTCGACTCTACAACGCGATGCACAGTCGCGGGGTCAGCAATGCATCGGAGGCAGCTGCACTCCTCGTCGGAGGATGTACAAGCACCACGCTCCTCGAGTGAGACGACAGCAACATACCACCCACGACGAACCCGCCGACATCGTACGACGGGATATCGTCTTCCAGCCACAGCTGGACGTTCTTCTTCCACGTGGGCGGGAGGAGGTGCGCAAACGTCATCGTTGCGGGTCGGGGCGGCGTGTCAAGCAATGGAAGTGCCAGCAGCACTCCCCCCCACCGGTACACGTCAGGCAGAGGAATTGGCCAATCCGATTGGTCCAAATACTCACCCGTGTCTATTTTGACGCGAATTATCTCACCTGATTGGCAAACCACATACTAGTTGAACGCATGCGTCTGGTCCAGCCGCTGCAGTAGCGGCAACATTGGCTGCGAAGCGAACCGCTAGGCGGAACAACCCTCGATGGAGACGCAAGAAGACCACGCAAGACATGCATGAGCGCTGTAGGTGAGCCACGCACCTCCATGCCGCATGACAGTAACGCGCAGGAAATGGTGAGAAGTTGTGTGGGTTGCCATGAGACGGACGTTGAACATTGAGGCAAACCCAAGGCGACGCCTACGTGGTTGGTGAAAGCGAGGGCTCCCGAAGGGGGGCAAAGGGGGCGGAGCTGCGAATGCGACTTCGCATCGTCGCCACTGTGCTGCATCACGGAATGCGTGATAGGTCAGCGCGGGGCATGGATCGGTCGCGTTCGAGCTAATCCCTCGCGGAAGTAGATTACCAACATTCGGGCCGTTACCCAATGAACGCTCACTATGTAATCTCAACTGCACTGGTGAATGCAATTTCTCTTGAACTAAGGCGATTCAACAAGCGCGGTTTTGATACACTCAGCAGCACATTGCAAGATAGTTGCTGACGACGAGGCTTACACGGGTAGCTTCTGGTTTCGCTCGACCATCGTCGAGCTGGTGCCTGCCTTGTCGGCCGGAGCCAAACGTGGCAATTGCCTCAGGAATATTGAATGTTGGTGTCTGTACTTACAAGAGGGATTCACTCGGCCAGTACGGGTTGACAAAGGGAGAATGAGCCCGGCCGCGGCATTTCGACCACGCGCCATGTCGCCTTGTCGCATCGCTGTGCTAGGTCCACCTGAACACACACGGCGCGCCTGTTCGCGTCAGACCGAGAGATGCAGCACGAGGCGTCGCGTCCCCCTCGACAAAGCGTCGCCGCTCTCTACCACCGTCCTCTTCGTATCCCTGCACCGCCATCGAGTCTCCCTTGCGCTCCCCTCCACCCAAACAAACCAGCGCCGCATGGTGCATTTCTCCTTGGTCAAAACCGACCAACTCGAGTAGCCCTTACCATGCCACGTCATTCAACTCGTGATCCAGGCGTCGGCGGATCGTACCGTACACGCAATGTCGGACAGGTCGTCGCGATCTCGAGGAATTGCGGCGAGAACAACATGATATTTATTCACGTATATTCTGCGATACAAGGCGTCGAGCAGCTTGTGAGACCAAAGCGATCCGTGCGGGGGACCACACCCGCGCCGCAAATGCATGGAGGAGTCTACGAGTCGACTTCAAGTGTTCTGCATCGTCCTCGGCCAGTCGTGGGTTGGGCGAAAGATCCGGAATGTCCGACGCAGCGGTGTCCACACGATGTGGCACCACTTGATGCATGGCTGGCCACCCCACCGTCCACATGGCACACATTGTCGAGTCCATTGCAGCCGTGCGACCATGGCCCTTGTGACCGCCCTCGCCTTGCCATGCATAGCCATGCTCAGCGACCCACAGGCTGCGGGTGGCACCGTCCACTGCGCCCTGCGTCATATAGAGCTGTCGCATGACGTGGCACCCGGATTGCGTTGGTTCAAGTTGAAGCGCATGATGTCGAAGCAGGATGTACGAACTTGTTTTTCAAATTACAAAGCCAAATGGTTCTTTTACAAAACTTTGACTTGAAGTTGTTCAAAACGTATATAAAACGCTTGTTTCAGATGCATATATCTTGCCAAACGAACATCATACACTCAGGTCATTCTGGACACAAATAAGTCCTCTCGCAATCAAGGGCGTGGCTGTGCGCACAAAAGGTGCGCGGGCTTCGCACGGCGGCTGGCCGCGGTAATGTCTCCATTAGACACAGCGCAATGGTTTCGAGACGACGAGCTAGTGCCTGGCTTCGTTGCTTGGCAGCTGCCGTGTTTGGTTTCCACGCGACCGCCGTTGGCCAGGGTGAGGCGCCGCGCGATGCGCCAGTGTAATGGTCAGCATGCCAACCCGCGCTCCGTGGATATCCTGGAATGCCCGCAGCTGCAGTTGTCGGTATTATACTCTCCACCGACGCGAATCGCGGTGGCCTCTGGTCGCGTACTGCAGAGATCGGTCCAGCGCTAGACGGTTCGTCCTTCACTCGTGTCGCGGCAGCTGCGCGTCGGCGCGTGAGCAACCGTGTGCCAGAGGCGTCGTCACTGGCGTGTCCGTGTCAAGGCACCTGGGCTCGGTCCTGATCTTGCTGCCGCGATTGCTGCGAACACTGTCGGGGGTTCATGAAGTTGAAGATTCGCGGGCGACGCAAGCCCAGTCATTTCGGGTTTTCCCACGTGTACCACATCTCAAGATTCAATTTCGATCATGCCAACGCAACAGCCGCCGGCCACCGGGATCCCTCCACGCCGAAAGATCGTAATCGTGGCAGTCGGCCCCAGAGGCGACGTCCAGCCGTACTGCGTCCTTGGGCAAGCCCTGGCTGTCCGCGGCCACCACGTCACGATCGCGACGGAAGAGCGTCTCAAACCCCTTGTCACGACCGAGTTTGGCCTTCCCTTTGCCACGATTGCAGGTGACGTTTACGGTGGCCTCTACGACGTCGAGTTCCAGCACCGCTTCCGCGTCGCGAGGTCCCTTAAGTGCCTCGAGTTGCTCACGGATTGGAACAACCGGTACGACCCCGATGAAGTCCTGGCGTCGTACGTGGCCGCCCTGGCGGGGGCCGACATTGTGGTCTGCGGCGCCGCCTTGGCCATTGCACAGACGTACAGCATCGCCGAGAAGTACAACTTGACTTGGGTGCCGGTCTTTCTCGGATCGTGCCCGATCCCAACCAACGAGTTCCCGCATTGGGTCCTGGCTGGGGTCCCGCTTGGATTCCTCTGCTCCAACCATTGGTCGCACTCGATCGTGGCGTCAAAGGGGTGGCTCCAGCAGCGCAAGCGCATCAACCAGTGGCGACGGAGTGCGCTGGGGCTCTCCCCCATCACAACCCCCCTTGGCGTCGTCGACCTCATCCAAGCCAACGACAACATTACCATCTTTCAAGCGAGCTCGTTGCTGTTATGCGGCCCCAAGCGGCAGGTCCCGCAGGACTACCCGCCCAACAAAGTCGCGTACGGTGGCTTCCTCTTTCCCACCACGTCGAGTCCGCCAAGCCTCCCGACTGGATCGACGGCATGGAGCAGCCCTTCCGACCGTGGGTCCATCGCTCTGCAAGTACACGACATGCCTTGACCCACACACTTTTCATGCCGTTGTACTCGTAGCGGTTCCTCAAGACAAAGACCCTGCCCGTCATCTACATTGGGTTTGGAGGCATGCCAACCATTGAGCCGCTTCCGCTGCTCCAGCTCGCCCTTCAAGTGTGCCACTCGGCCAACTGCCACGCTGTCATCGTTGCAAGCTGGGCCAAGTTCATGCCACCGCCCTGTGCCGCGTTGGTGCAGTACCACACCAACACGATTTGCGTCGAACCGTCGGCGCCGCACCCGTGGCTATTTCCTCAAATGAGCTGCATCATCCATCACGGCGGGTTCAGCACGACCGCGACCGCCCTTCGCAGCGGTGAGCAAGCCTGTCACGACATTTGTTGGCCTTACTGAATGTCCGTGCTGGTTGGCAAACGTTGTAGGTGTGCCACAGATCCCGTGCCCTGTCATGATGGACCAGTTCCACCATGCCAATGACATGGTATCCCTTGGGGTGGCCCCTGCCGTCGTCCACAAGGGGTACCTCACGGGCTCGTACGTCGCCAAGCTCGTCGCCCAAGTCCTTTGCAATCGTCGCAACGTCCAAACGATTGCCAAAGACCTGGGAAAGGTTGTGACCAAGGAGAGCTCGGACAACCCAGACAAGTTTTGCGACTGGGTGCTGGCAGCCCCACCAACCTTTACACCGTCGAAGGCTTCAGCCATGGCATGGTAACGCAGGATGGCCATCCATGGCCGCCATGCGCAACACCACCACGCATGCATGCTCGCCCCGTCAGTCGCCCGACCATCCAGGGACTCGGCGTCGGCTATCGCGATGGTCGTTTCGACGCGGTCCCTCATCGTCGTTTATCTATTCACAATATACCTCCCCCGTGATTATGGCGTGTGTGTCTAGCAAAGTCCTACGGATAGAGCAACGTGTCGCAGGCGTTTGCATTAGGGCAGCCACTGGAGCTCTATTGAGAGTTGAGGCCCCCGTACTCCTGTAAGTCGTCCCACATCAGCGGCGCCGACGGGTGTGAAACTGTGATGCCGTCGACGACCCTTCACCTATAGTCGCAAGTGACTTGATTTCAGTATGACAAAACCAACCGGGAGCCGGGATCGAACCCGGGGACAATTGCAATGACCGGTACACATTGTTTTCATCGTGAAAACTTGTGTTCGTTGAACCGAGAGAAGGTTAGCATCTCCCTCGGCAAGGACGAGATCGCGCTTCGGCGTAGAAACTCTTGTGGTTTAGGCTATGGCACATTGTGCCATCTAACCAAATTTTTCGGCGGCTGCGGCGGCACCACTACCTCGCTCTCTCTACCAACCCCCTTGCCCTCTCTCGGGCGGCGGCGGCCATGGTACGTCCTCGTGCCATGTTTGGGCCACCGCCACGTGCTTGCCGAGCCTGTGTGGCAACGCTCCACCCGCAAGACGACCTCTCACGTTTGCGCTGACCGTCGTATGCAGGGGCAGGCGACGTCACAACGATCCTCTCGAGTGCCACAGCAGCGACGCCATCAAGAGCCATCCGCGAGCAACGTTTGTCGTCGTGGTTGGGACGATGCCTGGCTCTGGACAACGTCCCATGCCAGCCACATGTGCCATCGACAACAACGCACGACACCACTCTCGTGTATTATATGAAGGAAAACGCAGACGGCGACGAGGGAGGTTGTCGGGGGTGTTGGGCAGGCGAGAATGGCCGGGACGGCGGCGGCTGCGTCGCCGCCATAAAGCCAAATGCTGACGTGGTTGGCGGATCGTGCCTTGGCGACGCGACAACAGCAGCCTGTTGTTGCTGCATAAAACGAAACACAGACGAATTTGTGGACGATGCGGTCGTGAACGCGCGTTGAGCCGCGGCAAACGTGGCCGGGACGTGTTCGAATGGTTGAGACTGGTGGACGGGAGTTGGTCGCGGTCCCGACGGAGGCGACGATGACCAGGACGCACGAGTGGCTGTGAGCCGGGGCGAGCTGACTTGGTCGAAGAGGGAAGGGGCGGGGCACGTGTACGGCGTTTTGAGCTTCAACGGGTGCATGACGCGCGACCCGACCATGAACTTTTTGAACGTGAGCACGCGATGGTACATGGCGGCATTGGCGAGGACGGGGCCAAGTTCGGGGAGGGCGACGTGTTCAATCGAGTTGCCGTTGATCGCGACGAGGAGGCAGCCGGGGCAAATAGCCGGATGGAGTTCGATGAGCCCTTTGTCGCCGGACGGGAGCGGCACGAACTCGGCGAGAATCGCCGACTCGGGCGTGGTCCGGTCGAGGACAATTCCCATCGGACCGGGAGGCACGTCGACTTCGAGAATCACTTCGCGGGCCATGCCGGCCTTCTTGAGCGCTTCAAATTCATCGCGAGTGGACATGGTAGCAGCAGCACGAAGCGCACGGTCATGCTGGACGTGATGAACGTCCTCCGACACTTCGCTGCGTCCGTCTGTATCTTGCTCGGACATGTCACCTCGACTGCTCGACGTATCTCCCAAAGTTGACCCGAACGGATCAGCCCCAGCGTCGTCGTCGGCGGCGTCGTCATGCCCGACGGACAGATCTGCAAACGCGTCGTGAATGCGGTCCGCGGCGGTGCGCTACACCAGTCGGTGGTGACATTTGACGTGCCATCGACGAATTACCTTGGGGGATTGCGATGCAGCGGAGAGGAATGAAAACGCCGATGTTGGTCCTGCGTGGCTCGATGGGTTCTCGTGAAAGGGCGACTGCGCGGCGGGCTGTGGCGAGTACGATGCGAATGGCTGTGGACGGTCGTGATTGCTTGGCGGACAAGTCTGTTGCAGAAAAGAGAACGCCGTCGTTGGGGGCGGGCCATCCTGGACAAACGAAAACGCGGACGACGACGACGGGGTCGGCGACGGCTCGGGAAGTGTAAATGCTGAAGTCCGCGACGACTGCGATGTGTTGGACGGCGACGACGGTGGGGGCGTCAAGAAACCCGTCGACGACGGCGGCGGCATCTGCGCTGCCGGCGTCGGGTAGGACGTCGATGACGCGGCAGATTGTGGACGGGACGGCGGACTCCCCGACACGAACGAAAACGCCGACGACGGCGTGGGGCGGTTGCTAGGCTGTGGTGCACCGACTACGGTCAATGAGGCAAACAAGGATGGGGGCGCCGATTCGTGCTCGTGGATCGGCGACCCAAGCAGGAGGTCTTGCATCGGCGGCTGGTAGTTTCTCGACGGAGTGTGCCGATTTGTGGGCGATGCTGGCACGGGAGGGCTGTACAGAGATTGCCCTGTTGGCCTGCCGTGGTGGTATCCCTGATCAAAGTGGTCGTGGCTGCGAGGGCCGACGTGCATGGATGAGCTCGTGGTGCTGCTACGACTGCTCATTTCCGACGACACGCTGCTTTGACGCGAAGGCGCCCTGTTGGTCGAGGAAGAAGGAGCACGCTGTTGTTGCGCGCTGCGCTGGTAAATGGAGGGATGGTCACCTCGGTAGTCGTCGTCATCGTCGCTGCTTTCGTCGTGGGAGGCTTGCGTAGGTACATGCGCGTCGAGCGCGTGAAAGACCTTTTCTGCTCGTGACTTGACGGTTTGCTTGGCATGGTCGGTCAAATGCTGCAAGAGGTTTTTCCGGGACGAGAAGTAGTCGAGGTACGTCGTGGCGGCGGCCGTCGACAGGAGAGCATCCAGCACAGCAAGGGCGCGCGCTACGACTTGCCACAGCGAGTCTTCGAGTTTGGTTTCCAGCAGCTCGCACAGGTACGTGTGATCGAGTGCTTGGATGTGGCGCATCAGGGTCGTCATGGCATCCTTCGGCGGGAACGACGTTTGACCAATCGACGAACACAGCTCCGAAATCAGCACGAGTTCCGAGACGGAATTCGACGCGGACGACGACGTGCCGCCCGTCTTCCAGGGCGACTCGGCATTGTTCCTCCATTTGGCCGCCTGCGCCGCATACGCTGTCTGTGCCGCCTGCGGCTGTCGGTACATCATGCTCATCTTCCACGTGGAATGCTATCAAATGCGGAAGCTGCAATGTACCGCGTCGTGATTGGTGGAAGTTGGGGATCACACTAATCACGGAATCTTCCGACTTTCGAGAACAAACACTATTTTATAGTGGCAGTTTCAACGAGGGCGCAGCACCCACTGGAGGAACTCCTTCGAAGGCCCGAGGTTGGCGCTCGGTGCGCGCCACCCACACCCCCACGCGCGCCAGATCCGTCCACAAGGGCGTCGGCAGGCGCAATACGCCACCTCGCATACCAGCAACCCTCCCTTCTGCAACAGGCCCAACATCGTCCAAGCGTGGACGGCGCTGGCGGCATCGTCATGAAGATGTCGCAACGCGTGAGGGCCGCACCACGTGCTGCTAGTTTCATGAGAACGAGTACGTAGCGCACATTGCCCATAAAACGCAGACGGGCAGCTTTCGATGGGGGACCATATGCAAGGTGCACCGAAAAGCGCAGACCCGAGCACAATCGCGCGTCGACGGAACATTGGTACACTACACGGACGCGCATGCCTTGCTTGAGTGAATCGTCCGTTGGCGCAGGATGGGGCTTTGTCGTTGGCTGCGGGATGGGTGATCGAGGGGGCCGCGTCGACCATCGTGAGAGAGCAGCGGTCGCAAAATAGTGTGAACGATCATTTCCCAGTAATAGTGTATGCCAATCAACGAGAGTGAGTCACAAGGCAACGAGGCCGGTCGTCCTGGTCGGGTCGTTGTGCTGCGATCAAAATATTCCGCAGCGGCGACAATGCCAATGCTGCACAGGAGGAGCAAGCGCCGGCCGAGGCGGTGGGTGCGGTGTGTACTCATCGGTTTGTTGTGCACAGATGCCATGACACCAGGTACGTCGGAGCTGCGCGCCGTACGTTGTGACCGTTGGGATAGGCGATGCCCGAAACTCGACAACGGCGTGGCCAGTTGTGCCGACTACTGCGCAAACGAAGACACCACTTGTAGAGCCAACAGCAACTTCACCCATGACAGTGCCAACAACAGAGGCCGCACCATCGGCACCACCTGTCCAGCCAGGCACTCCAGAGACGCTTCCATCCGTGACAAAGCCACCCTTGACTTCTCGATCCACACCTTCGCGGACTCCACAAGACACTCCATCATCGACAGAAGACCCTGCGCCTACATCACAAATTTTCCCACAGACTACCCCCCAGCCAACACCCCAGCCAACACCGCAGTCAACACCGCAGTCAACACCGCAGCCAACACCGCAGCCAACACTTCAGCCAACACCCCAGCCTACGCCACAGCCAACCCCCCAGTCTACGCCACAGCCTACACCGCAGCCAACCCCCCAGCCTACGCCACAGCCTACGCCACAGCCAACACCCCAGTCTACGCCACAGCCTACACCGCAGCCAACCCCCCAGTCTACGCCACAGCCTACGCCACAGCCAACACCACAGACGCCCCCACCATCAACTCCGTACACGACTCCACAATCATCGCTGGAACCATCTCCACAGCCAGTGACATCGACTCCCGTCCCCACATCCCGTCCTCTGGCACGTTCTCTCGTGCCTCAAACGCCGTCTCTGCCAACTACCTCGTCGATGCCTCTTCGACCGTCTTCAAAGCCGACACCCACTGGAACGCCCGACAACCAACTCGATCTATTCAATCCAACGGAATTACCGCGAGAAGTGCCCGGCAACCGTGGGAACTGGCCATCGCAACGGATATCGCCGCCACGTGTGCTTTCGACCGTGGACGACGTGTTGCAAAAGCTGCCGACTGTATTCTTGGCCGTGTCGCTCGCTCCCCTTGCCGCATTCCACGTGGGGCTATGGACACCCGCCCCGGCATTCCCACCGACGCCGTGGCTCCTGCCGCTGTCTTTCTCGGTCATCCAAGCGCTCACCGCCGTCTCGTTTGTGCATGTGGGTGGCGCATCGTCCATTCCTCTGACCGCGCTGTATGCTGGCGACGGGCTAAGCTGGGTGCACTTTCAAGTCCCGGGCAATACAACGAAAGTCGTGGCGACCGATCGCAGGCTGGCTACACAAGGTGGCGACGGCGCCGAGTACGTACACGTCGGGCCAGAGTCGTTTGCGCTTCGCCAAGGCATCGACGAAAAGAACTTGTTTGTTCGGTGCGTGGTGGCGGTGGTCGTCGTTCTCGGCGTGCTCACGTGCTTCCGTATCGTCGGGATGCTAGTCCAAGCCAAAGCTGCCGCCAGTGGCAACGCGCCCCTTGAAGCCATGGGCGTGCTTGTGCGCCACCGCGCGGGCCTTCTCGTGTCGTTTGTCGTGTCCGCGGCGCTGTTTCCGCTCGCGATGGCCGCCGCATACGAAATCCGCCAGGATGGCTACACCGACGGAAGTCCCCACTGGACTGCTATCGTGGCGGTCGCGGTGCTCGTGGTGCTCGTGGCGTCTCTGGCGGCCATCGCCATTCGCTTGTACGTGTTCACACAAGATGAATTCGACCGTGACGACGCTCCACACCATGCTTGGTTTTCCTGGCTGCCGGCATCGGTTTCGTACAGCTATCGCGTCCACGCGATGCTGCCACATGCAATCCAAATCGTCACCGGCGGCATCGTCGGGGGCGTAGCGTCTCCCGCCGTCCCTGGCCTCGTCATCGGCGCGCACGCTGTCTTTCTCGCGTTTGTCGTGCACTCCACATTGTACACCGGTCGCTGGCACCGGTTGGTCGTCGCGTCCATGGAAGGGTGCATCGTTCTCGCATGGGCTCTCGCGTGGGCCGGAGCCCACGTGGCGCCATCCACCGCGGCTGCCGTCGGGTACGTCGTCGTGGCGGTGTGGGTTCTCGCTCTCGTCGCCATCTTGGTGTACCAAGTGATGCTCATGTGGTCGGTTTGTGCATCGTTTTCGCCAGGTCGCCCGCCATCTCGGCACATGGCGTCGTCGGCCGAGGCGCGACATCGCAACCCTCCATCACGAACACACCCGCCGCCATACCAAAGGATAGCAACGCCTGCTCCGACGCGGCCGCGCCATGGCGGCGACGCGCTGTCTGTGCGACGGCATTACGGCGTGCGAACCAACTAGGACGCCATGACCCAGTTCACGGCTCCACCTGTTCCTCCTCGAAGACCAGAATATGATTAAAGTGCCGTCGAGGTTGCAACCGGTGTTGCAACGCTAGCACAGGACCAAATACCTTGCCGCCACTTGCGCTGCCAGGGCCCATCATTCGTCGAACAGTCCCCTCTAACTTCTCTATGAACCGTGATACAATTGAACGCTCGGTTGGCTAGCGAAGCCACGACTCGCCTTCGCCACAGCGCCGCGGGTGGTTTGCTGTGCCTTGGCATATTGTGCATCGTGTCCGGCACTTTCCACACTGCAGGGCACACCTCGACGTGATGCGAGCTGCTCTGTTCAAAACGCCAACTTGTTCACTCCAGCGTCCTCCACCGACGCCACCACCGTGGGCACTTTCAACCAGTCCACCATAAACACGTGCCATCCACTGCGCACGTACCGCGCCACATCCACTTGAGGGATGCGAAGGCCGTGCCCATCATCGCTTGCGGATGTTACAAAAATACATGCCGCATGCGCGTCAAGTCGCATGTCTGAACCGTCTATAGGACGTCGCAGACTTCAGAATACTGCGCAGCCACCCACTCTGGCAGATCGCCACGATGCCATGGCACACCTCGAATGGACGGGCGTTCCTGGAAACAGGTGTGCTACATACAGGACGTGGTGGTCGTCGACCCAAGTGGCAACGCGTGGGCAGTACGCCAGGTAGCGGGTTGTAACCTTCCAGCGCCGTCGCCGCCGGCATGGACGAGGTTGCACAGGCATGGATTCGATGGGCTGTTTTCCTGGAACTGACGGCCCCCGGTCCTCTTGTCGCGACAGCCACGATGCCGCCCACACAGAATGGCGGACACGATTGTCCGATTGCTTGTTTCATCGGCGAGTGCCATGCCATCCAAGCCGTCATGCGCACGAGGCGTGGCTGGTTGCAGGATCTGCACGTCGTCACGATCGACATGGACCTCTCTCACTGCAAATCGAGGTCCTTCAAAGCGATTCCGAGCGAGAACATCCGTGTCAGTCGGAAATCCCATGAGCACGACAAACGTCCGTTTAAGAAGACGGACGAACGAATGTAACGAAGTGGGTTTGCTAGACTTAGAACAAGGCAGCAAGCAGGGCGACCGACGCCATGGCCAGGACCGACACCTTGACCGACGTGGCAGACGATGGAGTCGGCTTGACCTGGGACGTGGTGGGGGATGCACTCGTCGTCGATGGCGCGGTAATCGTCGGGCTCGGCGACGTATTGTTTGTGCTATTGTACACCCTGGCGTTGGCGCACACGAAACGAGGGGTTGCGGCGCCGCACACGGCATGCAGCATGATATTCCACGACGCCATGTGCTCGGCGATGGTCGGGTAGTTGCCATTGTCCGTCCACGTGGCCGAGATCTTGCCGCTGGTCGCCTTCATTCTGCCGAGCTTTCCAGACAAGTCTCCCTTTTCGCACACGCCGGGGTTGGCGGCATACGCCGTCGCGTTGCAGCCGTACGTTTTGTTGGCACACTTGGGGTCGTTGTTGAAGTCCGAGTTGGGACCACACGCGAAGTCTGGGTCGTAGTGGTTGGCCGTCTTGGCGAGCGAGCACCCCGTCAAGAACTCGGATGCCTTGCCAGCATTGGCCCACTTGGTGTGGATGTGCCACGTGTACTCGGTCACGTTGGTGCAGTTGCCATCGAACGCGTTCAGGGCGGTAAAGTTGGCTTTGGTCAAGTCCAGGTCGGCCGTGATCGACGTGGACGCAGCGCCGACGAGGGTCGTGATGGTGCCGGCGACGCCGCCCGATGTCGTCGGGTCGAATGTGTACACCACGGTGCTGGCGGCGGCGATGCTCATGACTACTTGCGCAGGCGGCGGAACGTTTGGAAATGGCGATCGGGACAAGGATTTCTGTGTCGGACTGCTGATTGGTTCCACGCTCGCAACACTTGTTGGAGTGTAAAGTCGGCAGCAGCGCATGATGGACATGTGGCGCGTGTTGCGGCGGCTACCGCGCGCCTGGCGCAGAAGAGGCTGGGGCCGTACGCAGTGGCGCGTCACCCCGTGGTCAACGACCCGGCACGCACTCGGCAGCACGAGGGCGTGGGGAGGCACGCAGAGCGTGCTTGCTGTCCCTCTCGATTCGCAGGAGGGCGACGCGGTGAACCAGATCGTATGGATCTGAGTCGGACGAGCCCCTGACGACTGACCTCTGCCTTAAGCACGCACACAATGTTGCCACGTGTGCCGTTCACGCTTCTGCATCCAGCGTTCATTCGAGCCCAAAGCACCGCGACCCTACAGCGCAAAGCGCTTGCAGCTGCCGCCGTGCAGCACATGGACTACTCAATCTTGAACTTATCCAGTCACGAATCGACGCTGGTGGTGTGGGTGCGGCGCTACTACACCCGAGGCTGGATTGTAAATGGCCGAATTTGATTGGTCCACGGCGAACCCAGAAAGGTCGCCAGGTGGTCCCTTCAACATCTACCGGTGGACGTTGAGAGCGATGGAGGTCGGGATATCAGCCCGGACAGACCCGGCGCGCACTGCACAAGGCCTTGGCGTTGCTGTGAATGTGTCCCCTTGAATGTGGTCTGCGTGGTGCATGGCTCGCTTGGAGCCCGAAGCTCGGCAGAATGATGCGAGTGTATCCTTTCGTAGAAGCTAGGCCGTTTCCTACCCCTCGCGGAGAGTCGGGGGTGGACCGTTCGTGATCATGTTCAGCATGTCCCATGGGCCAAAGGCGAATGGATGGAACGATCGGTGCGTGTATTGGTGTCGCATGATGGCGTTGCGGGGAGGGCGAAGACCCATTGCACTCGGCGGTGGCTTTGCCAAACCTTGTGAATGGAATACAGTGGCAACACACGCAAGGCGGCCTGCTTGACACGCATCCGTTGGAGTTTGCGCAGTGCCTCGTGCTTCATTTTCCATGGCATTCCATGCGACTTGTGATGCCGTTGACAACCAACGCCACAGCCGTAGCGGTCAAGGGCGGACCACGATGGCAAGCGCAGCGTCCGCCTTGCCGGCACCGCGCCGAGTGGATGCCAGACGATTCACGATCGAGTACGCCACCGCCGTCAACAAGCTCGTGGTTGACGCGCAGATGCCGCTGGCCCCGGTACGGCCCCCGCAGACAGATTCATCACGGGATTGTACACACAAAAACATGACCGCTTGCCTCGACGCGCTCCTGCGTCCCACCCAAAGTGAGGCTAAGGATGCTCGAACTACTAAGCCCCAACTCAATGCCGTTCGGCACCACATTCAATTACACTCACACCGCCAACGGCACGCCTCGATCGAGGGCATCCACATGGCCGAATGGACCAAGATCACAATTGATATACCTCGTCGACCTAGACAGCGCCACGTCATGCTCGCCAAACGGGTGGTTGTAGCTCAAAAATATGGGAGCACAACCAACTGCCCACCCTCGTCCTGCCCACCTCTGTCGACCGTGTTTGGCAGGATTGGTTGCCAACGATGGAAGCGGTTGCTTCTATCACATTTGGAGATGCGCAATTGCATGTTGGTGTTGCAGCT